ACACACACACACACACACACACACACTGTTGCATCCTGTTACATTTTTTCCTGGTGTTTTACCATAAGACAAGGCACCTACATCAAATGAGGCAATGATTAGGGGAGCCTAGGTTATCTCCTAGTGACTTGGGGTTTACATCCCAGCTCCCCTGGTGCCCTTAGGCATCCAGAGTTGAACATGAAAAACAAGAGATCAAGGCAGGGAGGAGGAAAACAGGTGAAGACTCTACAGCTTGGTTGTGTTTCTCATCTCTGCTGGTCTGAATACTGGAAAAATTCTTCCCCTTAATAGAAGGTATATAACCTTGTCCTGAGCTGCAGGACATCAACCTGGGGCAAGGGAGTCAGGGATAGGGAATGGGGACAAGAGATGCAGAAAGAATGACCACAAGACAGGATTCTGATCAAGTGGCAAACTTTACTTTTTTCTCCCCCCACCCCTACAAACACATATACAGACAAACACACAAACATATACAAACACACATATATACACACACATACACAAAGACAAACATTCACACAAACACACATGAAAACACACACATATACTACACACACACACACATATACAGAAAAAACACAAACACAGACACACACACACACACACACACACATACACAAGTCGTCCAGGAAGGGTTGCCTGGGTGACTGAGCCTGTGGGTGGAGGACTGGGTTACATTGTTTCTTTTCTTGAGCTGCTAAGGAGCTGCTATGTAAAAGTTAACTATGTGGCCTGCCAAGCAGGGCCTAGGATCTCATGCCACGCCCTGAGATTTGGCTCCCAACATAACCTCATTTGTCATTTCCAACCCCATTAGTGTAGCACTCACGGCTCCAGACTGGTTCACTCAAGATTTCTTATCTGCAATGGAACCACTTCTGTTGTGAAGTTCTCAGTCACCAGCAGGTGCATTTTGGGGAACTTGCTAGAACACCACATTCACAAACCCTTTCTCAGGCTTTCTGAATCAGAGGTGTCATAAAATCGGTAATCCCATTGCTCCTGGGCCTTCCATGTGATTCTGCTCCACTTTCCATGTATCACCTTCCCAGAGGTTCTGTGAGAATGACAGGAGGGCAGGTGTGAGAAGCTCAGACTGTGCCTGGAGCCTCAGCATTGCTCAGTGGTGACATCATCTTCATCTGCACCACCACAGCAGCATCTCCTCTAGCAAAGCTTTCACTGCCAAGAGGAACTGGTCCTCAGAGGTGGAGCTGTCCTTCTCCTGGAACACCCAGCTCAGGTATGTGTGCACCTGGCTGTCTCCATAGAAGAGCTTACTCTCCTCTGCGTGGGCTGTGAAGTCAGCTGAATCAATCTTGCCTGTGTATGTACTTTGTGGATAATGCATTATATGCAGTATACATCATTACTTGTGTGGGCATACTGCACATAGCCTAGAATTGACCATGTTAACATGAGTAGGTTGTGGATCAGTGGTCTTCTCTATGTTATGCAGCCATTAGTGTAGTCTGGTTTCAGCTTTCTTACACCACGTCACACTTAGTCCCGTGTGTATTGATCATATTCAGTCTGAATCCTGCTCCTGTACATTCACATAAATTACCCGTGTTCTCCCTGGGCTTGTCTGCTCTATCCATGTCATGGAAAGATTCATCCATATGCTGTCTATTGTGTCTGGCATATTCATGATGTGGCTTTTGTCATCTGCCCACACTGTGACAGCTGTCAGTACTTCACTTGATTTCATAATTGGAAACAATCCTTTATATTAATACTCACTTTGCTATAGCTCGTTTAGTGGAGGGGTATTTGTCTCTTCCTGCATTTTTGGGATAATGTAAGGAATGGCCCTAGAATAATTGTGCACGAGATTCTCTATGAGCACACATCTTCTTTACCTGGGTAAAAATATTAGAGCAGAGATATATGTGTTTAATTTTGAGGACCTACCCTTGTGGTCTCCACAATGCTATTTCATCTTTGCAAACAACTGGTGGAAGGAAGATAGTCAGGGGTGGGTTAGACCTTCCTGGTTTTCTCTCCCAGGATTTTGTGAAGGGCTGACACAATGATCCCATGCTCTTGCTGACTGTGCAGGTCCCAAGCAGCATTCTGGGAGACAAGCAGACCCTCACCCTGGGCAGGAGCTCCAGTTCTTCAGGACCTTTGCATCTGTATTTTACTCTCTGCAATATCAGAAATCTTCTATTCTTCCTATATTTATTCTAACTGTGTTGGAATATGAACTTCAAAAAGAAGAATATTTTCCTCAAATTTCTGAGCTATGATACCTCAGAAAGTCTCCAGATTTCTATCCTTAGACTTTATGTCCTCAGTGTCTGCATTGAAGGAAAGGATAAAGCATAACTGAGGAGCCCCTGGCTGGAACGGTCTTACGATACCCCATGTGCTTACTCATCTCCTGTAGCAGCTGGGGAGCATCGGCAGCTCCAGCCTTGGCTTCAGGAGACAGAAAGGCTGAATGGGAGATAGAATAGGCCCTCAGTTTTATTCTCTGAAAGCTGTAGTGACCACCCCAGCTGCATAAGATTGAGTGAAACATTTGGGTATGCACGTGGTACACATACATATGTAGGCAAAACATTTATCCACATCAAATAATAAATTGAACCAAGATATAAAAAATGATATTTAGAGAAATATTGAACATTATATTTAGATACAGACAGCCATATCCAGAATTTTCCTCCTCAATTGGCTTATCCTTGTGAATTGAATGGGATCCACAGCCAACCTCATTAACCATGAGTCACTCTTGGAAACTGTGCACTGTAGATGGTTGTGTCCTTGGCCATTGGTACATGTAGAATCCCTTTGTATTACACTAAAGTGCATTGAACTTGGGCTGCTTGTGAACTTGTGGACCACCCTCTGTAACTGTGAACTGTTAGAACTTGCCCCCACCCACCATCAGGGACTCTGCAATCTTCCTTCCATTTGTACCTGTGTTCCAGGAAGCTCCTCCCTCTGAAGAGTTGCTGTGAACCTATGAATGAACTTGAGGTTTTCCCCAAAGGGTGAGAAACTGAAAATTTGCTAGCTAGGGGAATAGTCCTGAATCCATAGTGGCCTATATGATCAGTCATCAACTTTTCCTTCAACTCTTGAAGCCAGTGTCTGGGATAGATTGTTGTCATCATTTCCTGTGCAGTGATTCTCTACAATTTTCCTTCTAAGGAAATGGTTTGGCTCATTGGTTGGATCCAGTGTGGCTGTGCACATTTTAGCCTCAACACTTAGGAGGATTTCTATGCATTTGAGGCCAGCTTGGCCTAGTAGCCAAGGTAGCCAGTACCAGGAGTGCAAGAGCTACATAGTGAAACCTTCTCTAGGAAAAGAAATAAAAAAACCAGTTGTGATGGAAGGGCTCTAAGGGGAAAGTAACCACAGAAGCTTCATAGAGGAAATGAAGGCTCCTGCTAATATTTCCCTGTACCCTTCTATATTTTTTCCTGCCATGCTCTGTGAATAAGAATCAACATGGTCTAAATACTGTTGCATTCCTTAATGCAACTCAAGGAACCTACATTCTAACTGAGATATGGGGGAATCGTCATCCCATTGAATTATATGTAGGCTTTGTAAATCCTGTCTTCTCCATGGATCTATAAGAATGGTATTTTACTCCTTCCAGAGTCCTTGGACAGTGAAGCCTTTGTATAGTTTTTCCATGTTACTGGTAGAGAGATGCTCCATAAGTGAAGTTTCGTCTGTCATTCTAGGTTTCATCAGAAAAAGAAAAAGAAAACATTGTGAATGTCATTAAGTAAATGTTCCTGGTTTCCCCCCTTTTCCCCTAAGATATTCCAACTAAGAGTACCTCTTGGCTTTCATCATGGTTGGCATGTATCTTGTTAAGTACAGGGTTTCTGCACATACCAGGTTCTCACAATCTTACACTTGGCTCTATGGCTGGTACCTCTGCTCCTGTCTCAGTATTTAAGGAGCTGTATTCATGTACACTGAGCTGTAGAATGGCACAAAGATGTGGGAGTCCTTGGTGTCTACACAGGGGAAAGAAATTAGACCCACATTTCTCATGGTGTCTAAAATCACTTCCAAGTGTTCAGCGGGGTTGATACAGAACCAGCAAAGCTCAAAACTCCAGAAGGAATCACAGACAGTAATTTCCCCTGTAGGTATAGGTATAGACTTTCTAGATGGGACTCCTTTCTCACAGGATGTAAAGCCAGAAAATGACAAATGAGACTTGGCAAATCTACAAAACATCCGTATTTCCTTGGAAACAATCAAAGGTTTGAAGTGGAAGGCCCCAGAGTGAAGAATAATCTTTAACAGACTTGAATGCTCCATTAGATTTTTCTATTCAGATCATCCCAAGAACTCCAAAAGAGTTCAGAAAAGCAAGGATCAAAAGAAGAAACAGGGGGAGCAGTATATGTGATTAGAGAGCCCTAAAAAGAAGAAATAAAAATGTTCTTAAAATACCTTAAAATTGCTAATATCAAGATTATTTAGGGGAATTTAAATTAAGACTCTTTGAGATTTCCTCCCAAATCATCCTGAATGACTGACTACAAAAAGAGATTGAAAGACAAAAGAAATAAAATAAAAATAAATTTGGTGTAGATATTGGGAAAAGGGAAGGCTCATTTACTACCTATAGGGGCACAAACTGGTGAGGTCACTGTGGAAGCCAGAGTGGGGAATTCTCACAATGCTAAAGAATAATCTACTACGTGACCTAGGTACACTTCTTGTCATGAGCTTATAGGACACCGCAGCCTCTTCTGAACATACACACTCTGCCATGTTCTTCACTTAATAAATAGCAAATGGAAAGATCTTAAATGTCCATCATTTTTATTGGTTCAAATGCAATACATATTTCTAATGGAGTTTTATTCAGCTGAAGAGAAAAATGAAATCTCCCTGGCAAGGCAGCCATTCAATCTCAGCACTTAGGAGACAGAGGCACTCTGCACCCAAGGACTGCTTGGTTGTGTACAATGTAATTTCCAGTTCAGCTACATCTATATAGTAAAATCCTGGCTAGGATAAGAAGAAAGAAAGAAAGAAAGAAAGAAAGAAAGAAAGAAAGAAAGAAAGGAAAGTCAAACTTGATCTGGGGTGTGGTCTCTGGAGGAACCCAGTGTTGATTTTGAAACGGTGGCAGGCAGGACACTCAGCACAGGAGCTGCATGCACACTGGGGTGTCAGTGATGGGCTCTGTAGAAAGCTTGAGTGCCTTTCACCTTCTTTGGGGGACCATGTATGTCTCACTTAGAGTCCTCCTTATTTCCTAGCATCTCTGGCAGTGTGGATTGTAAACTGGTAATCCTTTGCTCTATGTCTAGAATCCATATATGAGTGAGTGCATACCATGTTTGTCTTTTTGTGACTGTGTTACCTTGCTCAGAATGGTTTCTTCTAGTTCCATCCATTTTCCTGCAGATTTAAAGATTCCATCTTTTTTTTTCTGCTGAGTAGTACTCCATTGTGCAAATGTACCACATTTTCTCTATCCATTCTTCAGTTGAGGGGCATCTAGGTTGCTTCCAGATTCTGGCTATTACAAATAATGCTGCTATGAACATCGTTGAACAGATGTCCTTGTATGACTGGGTTTCTTTAGGGTATATGCCTAAGAGTGGAATTTCTGGATCTTGTGGTAGACTGGTTCCTATTTTCCTGAGGAAGAGCAAATTGGGAGCATGGAGGGAGATGAGAGGGAGCTAGGAGAATGAGAAGGGGAGAAGAGGAGGGGTGAGGAGGACATGAGGGTGCAGGAAGATTGAGTTGGGGGAAGAATAGAAGAGAGCAAGATAAGAGATATCACAATAGAGGGAGACATTATAGGTTTAAAGAGAAATCAGGCCTGAGAAAAAAATTAAAAAATTAAAAAAAAGAAAGAAAGCTTGAGTGCTCTCCTCAGTCACGTGGTGTACCATCAGCAGTGATCATCAGGATGTTGTCACTCATGTCTTCCTTGTCTTCTGTCTCTGTCTTGTGAGAAATGATAGGAAGAAGGAGACTCCACAGGGCTAGGGGCAGTGAGGACGCAGGATGTAGGAAGTTGGAGGTAGGAAGTAGGAACTGATACAGGAACTCACAGAGCCTGTGCCAGCACAAGGCCCGCGTAGGTCCATGTGAGGTGGTCCCCAACCCTAAGATGGGGAAGTGTTAAAGCTGACCACCTGGGATTGGATAACCTAACATGGAGTTCTGCTTCCTTGCAAAGACTAATTCTTGTTCTCAGTAGCCATTAGTTTCCTGAAATTCTTCACCTGAGGGTGGAATTTTGAAATTTGTTCAGTCTATGCTGCCATGTCAGTTGAGGTTGTCAATGTTCAGGCCTTGTTCAGGCAACCATACATATGTAATTTCATGGTTTGAGTCTCTCTGTGATTATAGAAGACACTGAATAACTCTGGTTCTTACTATCTTTCTGTTTCTTGTTCTACCCCTTACCAAGAAGCAATTTGTAATTGGTACTATCAAAGAGAAAATCAGTTTTCTCTGGTAGAGTTTCATTGGGCATATCAACCACATTCAAAGACAGGCCCCATGTCCATGAATAGCTGGCCAACACAAACTCCATGTCTTTTTGGGAGTTTTGGTGGGATTTTAGTTTCAGTTTTTGTTTTGTTAAAGTTATGTGGGCACAGAATTCAGGAGGATCTGGTAGGATTTGGGAGTTGGGGGAAACATGATCAAAACACAGTGTATTAAAGAAATTTTAATTAAATGAAAAAATGATGAAAAATCAGAACTCATTAATATGAAGCTGCTCACAGATGTTTAGTGGCAGTTACATTTAAAGTGGAGTGAAATGTCCTAGGCTCACGCCATAGTATGGATCTTCAGTGACTCTGCTGTCATTACTGCCACAGCAGAGGCTGGTCTGTGATAAGGAAAGCCACCTCTGCACATTCCATCCCCAGTCCACTCCATCCTTTTTGCTGTCTAGCAACTCACACAGTTGGGTAAGCAGCTATTGTAGCAATTGAACAGTGGTTGTTCCGGTCTTTGGCTATCTTTATGTAGCCATCCATGCCCCATTCTTCACCCCAGCTGGAAGAAGAGCAGGTTCACCATTTAGTAGAAAGAACACAGCATAGTAGTTTTATTACAATAACCCAATTGAAACACCAAGTGAAGGCTACCCTTAACTGGTAGCTTTATTTAAGGCAGAGGATCAACTCCTCAATACTAGTAGTACTTCACATAGAACTATGGAAATCACATTAGGCAGAGGATATTACACCTTCCTCCATACACATGGCTCAGAGATATACACCCAGTGGTGAAAATTCCATCTTAATACCCCCAAACTATGACACATTCTCACTGTGACAATCATACTCTGAAATTTTGGTGCTCCAAATCTGTGAGATAAATTTCTTGTACCTGCACCCAAACACTGCCTGCAAACAGTAGTTCCTTTTTGAATTTCAAACATAAATATTTGGACTCTGCATACCTGTTTTTGACCAGCCAGTATTTCTGACCATCTGATTCTTCACCATAGCCGACCAACAGGACAGAGTGGTTTGGGTAATGATTATAACAATCTGGGTCATAATAGAAGCCTGTGTAATAAGATCAAAGCTGGGTAAGAGGCTTGAGCCAACACCTAGTCAGGACTGTCACAAAGAGTAACAGAAACATTTCCCATCTCAGTACAGTGAGAAATTCCAGATAAGCCTTAGCAGAAGGATTCCTGTCAGCAATGCTAGGTAGCTAAGATCTCATGCCAACTTAGCAGGAATAAAGTTCATCATAAATCTTTCAGTAAAACGCTTGCTTGAATGAATGTAAGAGATCTTGATCTGTGTGCAGAGATTCAGTCCAAGAAAACCACACAAAAGGCAACATTAGTCAAATGAAGAGGTTCTAAGAGGGCCTAACTACAGAAGTGAAAAGCTATTTAAAATCTTGAAGCTACTACTACTGGAAAAATTCAAGTGAATTAAGTCACAAGATACATAGTGTTGCTAATTTTAAAAATGAACATGGATGCATGTTCATTGGATTTAATTAATGCAAAGTAGAAATTATATATTTAAATATGTTATTCCATCTATGAAAATTCTAGAACACCAAATATTTACATCAAATTTTATATACACAAGAAATAGTATCACTGAGTGCTCTTGTTAGAGGTAGAAATCTTCCTTATCAATTATTGAGTTGAAATACTCTTACCACTCTTATAGAACAGGAGAGAACGAAGCCGGACACTAATTCCAATAGAGATGGGCCCCACAGTGGCCACAGCCTTCATAAGGGCTTCCTCGTTTGACGGGACTACCACAAAGCCTGTGATGTTAGCAGCAGAGTGCTTAGGATCATACCTGCAGGGTCCATCCTTAGAGAGATACAGACGAAGAAACAAACACAAATCATGGTTATTTCCCTCTACCTCCTGGGGAAGATGAGCCACAAGCACACTCAACTGATTTGCCATCCACACAGGTGGCTCGACATTTGCCCCTGCTGGTCTCTCCAAGTGTGTGTGTTTATGAAATGTCACATGACCTGAGGAGCTGGTGGATTTCAATGGCTGGAGAAACTGGCTCTGGCATCTTCAATGATACCCCAAAGATATCCCTGTTAATAAATGACTTTCCACCACAGAGAAATCTGCACTATTTGTGGAATGTTTTGCATAAACTCCAGGTGAACAGAAATAGGGGCCGTGACATGGGAACCGTAGAATCAGACCAGCATGCAAAGGCTGACATGCTAATGGCAGCACTGATGGTGTTTAGGAGTTTTCTGTCATGAAAAGAGTTCTTAGGACAGAGGATTAACTGCACTTTCTAAAACCAGAGCCCGAACGACAACATAGGATTCCTCCTTACCTGTGCTTCATAAGGATAGGACTCACTGGTGTCCAAGCCTCCATTATCCTTTATATACTGGAAGGCACTGGTAAACAAGCCACCGTGACAGCCATTGTTGTGCTGAGACCTGGAGCAGTCCACTAGGTTCTGCTCACTCAGAGGAACCAGTTTCCCTGTCTTTCGGAACATTTGTCCTTCTAGGGAACCAACGGCACTAAAAGCCCAACAAGAGACACAGCTACCCTAAAATGAAAGAAGAAGCTGTCATCTACAAAATTAAAAAAGATGTTTGACAGTAATTCACATAACACTATTACACAAGGCATGCACTGTACACAGCTGTAGCCAGCAAGATGCCGATGGCACTTTCTTCTTGACTTGCCAGTGGACAGCGACTTCTGAAAGTGTGACAAGTCCTACCTGGTCTTTCACAGGAGTCACATAGCCATGCTTTCTCCAATCCACAGACTTGGGGACATCACCTAGAAGAGGTTCTTGGAATATGTTCGTCTCCTTTGCCTCCTGGCTTTGGAAGGCAGTCAGTGTTTGTGCCAATTCTAATGGTCTCTTAAATGAAGAGCAAACAGTTCATTGCAAAGGGAGAGATGGCTCATAAAGAGTTGAAGAGTGGAAACAACATGCCATCAAATCCATGTCACACTCACCTGGTCACCGAAGGCGTTCATTGCCATGGTGAAGGTGTTCTTCCCCTGGTGGTACTCCTTATTGTGCAGCTGAATTAGTTTCATGTTCTCCTCCCACAGTGCTCTCCTCTCTACTTCTTCATTCTGGAAATTATAAATAGAGTGTGCAACCTTCTCCTTCAAGTCCAACCCTAGTTCCCTCAGGGTTTGTGCTGTTACAGAAGAAGGGAAGCAAGGGAGGCTGTGCACCCTTGGGAGTGATGATCTGGACCCAGGGGCAGCAGAATGGTTTGCCATCAGAGTTCCTAATGCATGCCACCAGGTAAAGTGGGGGAAATTTTAGCTTCCACAGTGTCAGTTCAGGCCCAAGCACCCCCTAAGAAGGAGCCTGCTCACTGGTGTCCTCTGGAAGTTTCCATGGTACCCACATTAATGTATGTTTTCCTGTATTTTGTCTTCCACTTCTGCCATTCAGCATTCAAACTGGGATCATGTGTTGGAGCAGCTGATACCATCCTGAAGCAAACAGCAGCCAGGAAGAAAACAGGAACCATGCTTCCAGACCTAGGGTTAGAAAAGAAATGAGATTCTGACAACAACATGCTTCAATAAAACCTTATTTCTGTCTCAGAAATCCAGGCCACCATTGTGATATAAATCATTGGAATCATTGTTTTAGTTCTTTCCCAAACAGCATGGAAAGGGATAAGGATACGCTTGATTTGATATAGACATGTGGAGGAATTTGGTCAGTCTACCAACATGATGAGCAATTGCCGAGGGATCCATTAATTTGAATGTGTGTGCGCTGTGCACCTAGCTCACTGCAGGCTCTAATACACCTGGTGTATAAGAAGCTTAAAGAAACATCTAATTTATTAAGAGGCAGCTGACTCAGGCTTTGTGCCTTTGATATTGAGCTCACCCATGTCAAATGTGACTTACGCACAGTGTGATGCATTGAATATACAAAGAATTCTGCAAGAATAAGATTAACCAGATATCATTTTCATCGTCCAGTGTACACAATAGGAGAGTGACTATAGCTTGGTGCCTTCCTTTGTGAAAATTTCCTGTGATTTTCTCTTTAGAATATCTTGGTAGGTTAAATTCCTAACGACAGTTAGGAATCTGTCTGCCCCACAACTATGATGTTCATTCCCAATCCCATCTCACTGACTCAATAAGGATGGACCACAAGGCTGTGTCATTGATTGACAGAGCCACTTTTATATGTGGGATTCAAGGACAGAATAGCCTGGAATTCCAGGCTTAAGTCTAAAGTACTGGTGTAATACTCAGATAGTGCATTTTACAGCAGGCATGCTACATGCTATACCTTTTGCTCCTGCCTGGGCAGACCAATGGATTTCACTTGCCAGTTAAGAGCATAATACTGCTTCCTGTTGTCACTGCAGACATGCCCAACACAGATAAAGTTTGAGGCACAAGCTGATACTTTCTGTTCCTGGACCTGACAGTCAACTTTTTGGACCCTGATCACCATTGGTCCCTTCACATGCCTGGTGACTTCCTGAGAGCTCCAACCAACATCATTACATCCTCATTGACCGTCTATTAAAGTTTAAGTTGATACAGTCATTCCTGAGGGGCTGCATGGTGCTGCAGGAGACTCTGTAGGGTGCTCCTATATGGCTCGTCCAAGTCTCCCTTGGGAGAGCTTTGAGGCTCACCTGGGATGTCCACAGCTGGGCAGGTGTTCCTCACAGTCTCAGGCCTTCAGTGGTTGCTGAGATCCCAGGCTCTGTCCCAGCTGCATGTGGATCCAGGCTTTAAATGCCAAATCTGTGGCTTCAGGACAGAGTTCCTGTCCACTTACTCTTCCCTGCATGACTGGCTGGGCAATTGGACTGGACCTCCAGGCTGTGGGACTTCAGACACACACTGACACTGATGTCCACCCTGTCCTGGGGCATTGGGTGTGGGTGCCTTGGTGGACTGAGAGGAAGAGAGACGTGGGTCCCTGCTTCAGGAAATTACAGTGTGTAACTCTAGTGACATTTGCTGAGAAAATGCTCTTTCTGAGAGAGGGCTTAGCTCAGGGAAGAAGGTTCTAGCTAACTGTGTGTGGATTTCCAATAAAACACTGCTCTTCTATTAGAAGTAGAGATTTTAATAAAATCCTTGTCTGTGGTGCCCATGAGCAGTTAGTTATATTCTAGTCAAGAGTTTCCCCTTTAGTGCACAGCTAAGGTGGGTCTCCTGGTGCTCACAGACTCTGGGATAATTCTTCCAGTGACAGGGAGGATGGCAACTGGGTTACTAAAAATCTTTAGGGGAGGGCAATCCCCAAACAGGGAGGAGATATTCAAAGACAAACCTGGGAATGGAGTGCAGTGGGGGGTGTCCTGAGACTCAGACACTTGTAATCATCTCTGAAATCTGCTCTTTCTGCTGTCTTTCTTGTCTCACATTTGCAGCTATAGCAGAAGTGATGAGGTCTATGTACAAGCCTCAGTGAAGAACAGGGAAGTGACCAGTATTTTGGAGCCTGCTTTGATTGACACCTCTGAGTTTACATTGTGTTCCTTCAGTCTCTTCCTGGAATTGAATTTAGGGGATTTATTCTCACAGAGCTTAATGCTGGAAGTGAGCTAGAGTTTGGACAGCATGTAAGTGAGGAAACAACTGTTAATCAAAAATGTGTAGGCAGAAGCTCTTGTCATTGACCAATTAAAGAAAGTAAACCATAACTCTTCTCAACCCTCATCACTCACATGGAGTACAATGTGGAAAAAATGTCTAGTGAAATATTGCTGTGAGCTTTTTTGAATAATGTTGATTAAGCATGTTCTCAGTTCTTAGATGAAAACAGAGTCAGATGACATTCTTTGAATAGTTTATTTCTCTACTTAAGATTGTATCATCCATTTAGAAACAATCTCTTGGCCTCTAACAGAGATCCACTTGATTCTGTCTCTTGAGTGCTGCAAAAGAAGGTATTCACCACTGCCGCCTGGCTGCTTAATTGATTCTTAAACTTTGATCAAATTCTATGTTTTTGTCTTTTCAACTTCATATTATTTTCAAAAAATCAACTATAAATTCCAATTCAATAATGTGGGCCTATGTGTGCCCAGGGGAATAAACAACCCCACCACACACCTGCCAGTCTCATGGTTCTGAGGTTACTTATTCCTCCATATGCAGATCTCAGGCTTTGGTTATCTTCTCAGCCTTGATGGACCTTTGGCTGCCTTTACACCTGCTTCTTGCTGGTAACACTGCTGTCCCACCAGGTGACAAATGCTTTTTGACCCTCTGCTTTTAATCCTCTTGGGTAGACATTCTGGAGGACAGCTGATGGGTGTCTAATTCAGTTTCCTCCTTGTTCCCACAGAGCAGGCACCACTGGACTTTACCTATATCCATGCCCAAGTGCGCTGATGTCAGACACAGGTGCATCCTCTGTTTCTCTTTCTGAAGTTGTCTTTGCCAAAAGTGTGAAGTGGTTGTGAGCTGTGATTCCCAAGGGTCAGTGCTTTAGAGAATCTTTTCATTGTGTCAGTTTTCCCTGGTCTCTTACTCACAAGAATGTCTTTAGTATTTCTTAGCCTTTTTTTGTTTATTTATTTTGTAGTTTTGATGAGTTTTAGGATTTTCAAATTTATATTTCTTTTGGTTATCCTGATCCTGTGGTTACATACACACCAGAGACATACATATACAGACAGACATATACACCTACAGACATCCATACACCACACATACTCACACAGAAACACACCACCTACTCCACACACATATACAGAAAAACACACACATATCCACACACATATACCACACACACACCACTCCTACAAACACATATACAGACAAACACACAAACATATACAAACACACATATATACACACACATACACAAAGACAAACATTCACACAAACACACATGAAAACACACACATATACTACACACACACACACATATACAGAAAAAACACAAACACAGACACACACACACACACA